AAAACCTTCACTTTTCTCCGACCTTCGTTTCTCCGGCAATGTCGTTGAAACTCAATACTCCTTTCCCAATTTTCGCGCCATCTCTATTCCCAAACCCAAGAGGACCCAGCGAGATCCGATTCTCTAGATGGGGAAACGCAAATGCCGAGAAATTCGAGCAGCGTCGCCGGAGCCAAGAAGAGCTCGAGGCTGAGATCCGTCGCGACCGTCGTTTCGACGCCGTCACACAAATCATCCATACGCAAGATTCAACCGCCGCAGCTTCCGAGCCTAAAACGTCTCCGTTTAGATCAAAAGGCACTCCTTCACTACCATCAGCTCGATCGATCCCGGGTCGTAGATCCAAATACTCCAAACCCGATTCAGGACCCAATAAGCCGAAGAACAAACCGAAAGTACCCGATTCGCCTCCGCAATTAGACTCCAAGGCTGAGGTTAAGCTAAGCGACGACGGATTAACTTACGTCATCGACGGAGCTCCGTTTGAATTCAAGTATAGTTACACGGAGACACCTAAGGTTAAGCCATTGAAGCTTCGTGAGCCTGCTTACGCGCCTTTTGGACCGACGACGATGGGAAGGCCATGGACTGGTCGAGCTCCGCTTCCTCAGTCGCAGAAGACGCCGAGGGAATTCGATTCTTTCCGGTTGCCTCCGCCGGATAAGAAAGGAGTGAAACCGGTTCAGAAACCGGGTCCTTTTCGACCCGGGGTTGGTCCTAGGTATGTTTACACTAAGGAGGAGATTTTGGGAGAGCCATTGACAAAAGAAGAGATTAGAGAGCTTGTTACTTCTTGCTTGAAGACAACAAGGCAATTGAATATGGGTAAAAAAGCTCAATACTTTTCTTGAATGCATGTTTGGTTCTGTTCTTGATGATCACATTTCTTGGAATTAGTATTGGTGGAAGTTTAGTTTATGTACAATTGAAGTGGTGATTCTGATTTTAGAAGTGAGGTTTATGTACAATTGAAGAAGATATGATCTAAAGTTCTTGTTTGTCTCTTCTTCTTAGGGAGAGATGGTTTGACGCATAACATGTTGAACAACATACATGATTTATGGAAGCGGCGAAGGGTTTGTAAGATTAAATGCAAGGGAGTTTGTACAGTCGACATGGATAATGTTTGCGAGCAATTAGAGGTTTCATTTTTTATTAGTGTATTTGTAGACAGTGCGATTGGATTGTTCTTTTTTTCGATTTGTTGTGTTTGTGTTTATGAAGTTGTGAATTGAATTGGCAGGAGAAAATTGGTGGGAAGGTGATATACAGAAGAGGAGGTGTGCTTTTTCTGTTCCGTGGCAGAAACTATAATCACAGGGCAAGACCGCGTTTCCCTCTTATGTTGTGGAAGCCTGTTGCACCTGTTTACCCGAGGCTGATTCAACAAGTTCCTGAGGGTTTAACTCATCAGGAAGCTATTGAGATGCGGAGGAAAGGACGAGAGCTTATGCCCATATGCAGGCTAGGTAAGCAAGCAACTTAGCTCGGGATACTAATAATCTTGATATGGTTTTTTCCAAGACCGAGAATGTTAATTTTATTTTTGTTGGGGTTGGTTCATGTAGGGAAGAATGGTGTGTACTGTGACCTTGTGAAAAATGTGAAAGAAGCATTTGAAGTTTGTGAATTGGTTCGGATCGATTGTCAAGGTCTGAGAGGCAGTGATTTTAGGAAAATCGGTGCTAAACTCAAGGTTTGATCTATATCCTTATTCACATACGTTTTGTTCTTGTAATCAAATCTCGTGTTTACAACTTCTTTGTTGAACCTGTTGGTTGTGTTATTCCTCTCGCTCGCAGGATCTTGTTCCATGCGTGCTCATATCTTTTGAAAACGAGCAGATTCTTATGTGGAGAGGACGAGAATGGAAATCGTCTCTCACAATTCCAGATAAAAAGGATGATATCCTCGGAGATATCGAAGTTGATACTGCCTTGCCAGAAGATGATGAAGAATCGGTGTCACCAAATCAGACTCAAATTGTGACCCAGAACTCTCCTTGGGGTTCTACGGAACTGCATAGTGATCCAGATGGTGATGATCTGAGCCGCCCATCAACTATAGATTTTTCAGCAATTGAGGGCACAGACAGTTCTCTACCGAGCTCGTCTACAGAAGATGCAACTGAGCTAACTACAGATAGCTCTCTAGGAGACCATCACGAAACTGAACACGAGTCTGAAACATCGGAAGAGATCAACAAACAAAGCATAGAGAGAGTTCTAAATCTGATGAAACAAGCTGTAGAGAGCGGTGCTGCACTTGTGTTAGATGATACTGATCTAGATGCAGACACAGTCTTTGCAAAAGCTGTCGCCTTTTCGGCAGTAGCTCCACCCGGACCAGTTTTCCAGCATGGCTTGAGGAAACAACCAACGGTTAAGAAGCAGGAAACCCGAGAATTCGGATACCAAAACTTGGAGGCGAAGACGAGTAGTGTGGTGGTTTCGGGGAAAAAAGAAGTTGCAGTGAGAGTAGTAGAAAGAGATGAGAAGAAGGAGAAAGAAGGATTGACGAAGACAGTGAATCAGTTTGATGAAGATTACAGAGAAGTGATACCTCTTGGAACACTCAAGGTAGATGAACTAGCTAAACTACTCTCATAATTGAATTATATGTAATTTATTTGTATTTCTTGACTAGTGTATAATGTAGTCTTTTTTTTTTTTTTTGTCGAGTGTATCATGTAGTCTAAATCTCTAATTATCATTATCAAAGGTGTAACTTTATTTATCCGCGTTTTTGAATAGGGGATAAATAGCGTAATAGTATCTCGAATTTCACATGGGTTCTTCTTTCATCATCGATCCGATTATCCTTCCGCCAAATCAAATCGTAATGGTTATCAATGGTCCGAGCGGAGTAGGCAAAGACGCAGTGATCAACAAGCTTTGAGAGGTTCGTTAATGTCTACATTTCGTCGTCACCTAAAAGAGATGCATTGTTTGGCGAGTAACTTGTTCATGAGCTTAGGATCGGAGCATACATACTCTTCCATTGACTTTTTCAGATTCCTTAGTGTCATCTTCACACGTTGAGCAGTTTCGTGAACAGTTCCTTCCACAGATCCACGTTCCAATATCTGCAATGTAAGGTCAAGCAAACAATGAATCATTATATCATCACAATAATGTTTTTGATTTGAGAGACAGAACCAGAACAAACGATGTTTTGAGAAATAAGCAAAACCGTTTAAAGGAAATTCTCGGCAAATTGATGTGGCCACCGTCAAGTGATTGTTTCTTTAAGATCTCCATGTAGCTGTCGTGCAGCATCATGTAGACGATTCCATAAGTGTCCACCTGTATATATTCCAGTGGTCTCAAATTCTCTGGAGTCTAATCATGCAAAGACCGAGTCTTTCTGTAACAACGGGAGTAAACAAGGGTTACCTGAAACTTCCAAGGGTTACCGGTGGTGCTCGGAAACAGGCTCAAGTCTTTTCTGAATTTCCCAAGGGAAAGAAGGCATTTGTGCCATTTGGCCTATTACTGTATTTGATTTTTTTTTTAAGGGCCAACCTTTAGAGCAACTACTTCATCAGGATTTCTGTCAATGGATGCTTTGAACACTTGAGCAAAACCACATTGACCTGGTACTTCCTTCCACCTTGCAAAATATTTAGAAAAACTATGTATGTTGGTCAATTTTTTTCATCTCAGAAAAGATCGCCCCATGTGATAACAAAGCGGGAGTCAATCGATTATCACGCAGAGGTGTAACACGCTTATAAAAGCAGAGCTATCGATTTACTTATTTCAGACTAGATTGGTAAGAAAAAAACTTTACGCATATCAATGATCTTCTTTCTGGAAGAATTCAACAATGTTGAAAGGTTGGCTTTTCCAAGTTATCGATGATCTTTTAACCTCTCAAACGGTTAGTCTTTCCTACATTTCTCCACGAATTAGTAGAATGAATGGTTAGGCTTTCCTACAATGAATGGTTAGGCTTTTCTACATTTCTCCATTTCTCTACGAATTAGTAAAATGAATGGTTAGGG